CAGCGACATCCATCGAGGACCAACCAAAAGGATCAGCAAAGGATTTGTTATAAGTATTTTTATTATTTATTTATCCATCATTTATTGTTTTCTTTATTATTTATTTTTTATTTTATTATTTATGAATATGTCTATTATTAATTTCAATTTAATTACCCTAAAATTTTACTACCCAATAATGTTCTTTACATCAATTTTTATTTTTACAGCACCTCCCCTATTTATTAATTACAATTAATTTTAAGAATATTAATTCACATTTTTTATTACAGCATCCCTGTATTTATTGACCCAAATTTACCACAATAATGTGAGTTTTAATTTTTCAGCACCCCTATTTTTATTCGCCCCTCATAATACTGACAATAATTATTCTTTGTTTTCAGCACCCCTATTTTTATTTACCCCTAATAATATTGATAATGATAATTTTTTGTTTTCAGCACCCCTATTTGTATCTACCCCTAATAATATTGATAATAATTATTCTTTGTTTTCAGCACCCCTAACTTTAATAACCCCAAATAATATTAATAATAATAATAATAATTCTTATTTTTCAGCTCCTTTATTTTCATCTACTTCAAATAATATTAATAATAATAATTTTTAATTTTCAGCTCCTCTATTTTCATCTACCCCAAATAATATTAATAATAATAATAATAATAATAATAATAATAATAATAATAATAATTTTTACTTTTCAGCTCCCCTATTTTTATTTACCCCTAATAATATTGATAATGATAATTTTTTGTTTCCAGCACCCCTATTTGTATTTACCCCAAATAATATTAATATCAATAATTCTTAATTTTCAGCACCCCTATTTTTATTCACCCCTAATAATATTGATAATAATAATTCTTACTTTTCAGCTCCCCTATTTCTATCTACCCCAAATAATGTTAATAATAATTACTCTTGCTTTTCAACTCCTCTACATTTTTTACCCCAAATAATATTAATAATAATAATTTTTACTTTTCAGCACCCCTATATTTACTTACCTCCTAATATTATCCATGATATTAATTGTTTTCATTACATTATCCCTATGTTTTTTAATCTTAATATTATTAATTTTTATTTTTCTCTGTTTCAGCGTCCCTTCATATTCTTTAAGTTCCACCCTTATTAATAGTATTAATAATAATAAAAATAGTTACAAATGTATAAAATTGTTTATTGTATGATTGTATGAGTGTAATGATTATTCGTATGTGTGATGTATGATGTGTGTAATGTTTGAGCCACTTTAAAATGTGGTTTTATATGTAAGCTGTGTTAGCCGGGTTTCTCTGGGGTTTCCCAAGGCCGGTACGATTAATATAGTTAACAATTAACTATATCAATCGTAGGTGAATGCGCACAGTTGCGTCCTCAGTCGCGTAATTTTTTTTTTTTTTTTTTTGTTCAATAAAGCGAATTATTTCGCCTTAACGAATAAAATTGTGACTTTTTATTTGACTGACCCCTTCCTTCTAGTTTTAAGTAGTTTGTAATTAGAATATAAGTAAATTTAAGAAAGAATCCATCAACTTCCTGCTGCAGTTCATGGCTTTTTAAGGTAATTATATGTTATTTATCTAAAGTTTGTTAAAACAAAAATTAAATAAACGCGATCGCCAAATCATTAGATTTGGACTCAGTCATGTGCTGCACTAGACTCATTTGGGTGCGCACATGACTCAGTCTAGAGTAAACTAATTTTTTTTCCATTTTTTCTTGCACACGACTGAGTCTGGTGCAGAAAACGAACCAGTCGGGTTTCATTTTTTCCGTGTAGGGTGAACCGTTTTTCTAATTTTTTTTCCTGATAAAACCTTCGGAAAAATTGGTACTAAGTATTAGGTACCCACTTATTCGGTTATCAGGCACTTTAATCACGCCGATATGATCGTCCCATCGTCCCGGAGAAATGTTCCGCACCTGTTCCTTGTTAAAATTGAGGTGATTGATGCCGGCGGGCAGGGTAAACGTGACACCGTCACTCCATCCCGGATTATCGCAATACTCTGTGTCATTTTTCAAGCCCCACATTAATTTATCTACCTATGTACTGGAAAGATATCTTGAGGAGAGTAGTACGTGAGATCCCAATCCAGATCCCGTGTCTATTTTTCTTATTTCCTTCATCTCCTATATACTGTATTTTGCTGGTCTACTTCCATCCCGGGTATTTCTACTCTTAATGACGGAAAATAAATAAAACCGTTGTAACGGAAAAGCGTAAGTGCATTTGACAGTTAAAGAAACGGAAAAATAGCGAATTTATGTCCTCTGTTTAATTTACGTCGGTTTACGATCAAAATACGCTCGAGTTCACGTTGAGTATCAATACCCGTGAATATAAGCCGATTTATGTCTTATAGCAACAGAAGATCTTGGAGCCAAGCGGTACTCTCCTCTATTTAATGAGCTTACATTGAAAACTACGTCTGTTTAATTTAAGTGAAAAGTCGTAAAATGTCATTTTTTAAGATTTTACTTACTGATAAACTGTCACTTTATTTAATTGGCTGATATTTTATGGCTTCAACTTTCTATGGGGCTTTTCTTTTTGTCGCTATTTTTTTTTTTAAATCATTGTTTATTTAATTAAATATCAAAAGTTTCATGTAAATTTTATTTAAAAGCAAAGAATTGAAATGTTTTTATTTTAAAGCTTTGCGACAAAACAATACTCCTGTTATTTTGTTTAATTATTTATTTATTTATTTTCCATTACATAAGCCCAACAGCCTAAGGGGCCAATAACAGGGCTACTTAATTTTACAAGTTGAAGATTTTGACAGTGTTTAATACTTAAATTAATATTTGGCTCTATATAAACTAAAAATTTTTAATTTTTAAAATTAGAGTGATTTTTATAATCATCAGATGACTTAGTAGCTATAGTAATAAGAAAAAAAAAAAAGAAAAAATATAATATAATGATGAATTACGACTACATATGCAGAGCTACATTTACCTTTTCCTTAAATCTAAGATTGCTGTTAACCAGGACCAGGATTGACTAGATCAGATATTAAATTTTATAGTTAAGCGATAGTATTACGTCAAATAATTCAGATGAATAAATATTACTATTGAGCCAAGTTTCGGTGAAAATATAGATATCATAATCAATAATTGAAGTGTTATATAATACATTACGTAGCTTTGATATAAGTCCTCTAACGTTCTGGTAGTAAATGTAGCTCTGCTTATATGTAGTATTTAAGATTGAGCGGCGCTCTGCGTTCGATTTTGACGAGGTGGTGGTATGTTGATAATTGCTGTCCTGCCATGCCTTGTCACTAGTCGTAGATTGGCTTCTCCGTCCGTGAACTTGTATCAAGTTCTGGATAAATTTACCAGGATAATTCGCATTAGTGAATATTATTTTTAGTGGTCTTGGCTTTCCAAGAACTGGAGAGTATTTACCGACTCTATATTGTGACGTCAGCGATGAGGAAGATGAATCAATGCCAAGTGTGTTACAGATTTTTGTAATTAGAGATGCGTCTGCTTCCGATCTGGCCTCTAAATCGGACTGTATGGGTTCAGGAAGATTAAAGAGCAGCACATTGTTGCGTCTAGCTAATCTATCTTCGATTTCATCAAGGATAGATTCATCACCTGGTGGATGCTCTTCTAGGGCCTTAATCTTATCCGTGTTAGCCTTGATGTTTCCTTCAAGTGTTACAACCTTTTTGCCTAGCTTATGTTGCCCTTCTTCTATTATATTAATTCTTTCATTGACAGACTGACTTAACGCATCTACACTTTCTTGGACTTTCAGGATTCCCGCAGTAATTTCATTCTTGGTTGACTTGCTCTCATTACATATAAGCTTTCTCAGGTCTTCATAAGAAAACGATTTTTTTACGTCACAACACCTCTGGAACGCACCATTCGATAAAACGCTTGTTGACTTTGCGCAGCTTGGGTGATAAGTCGATGCACATCCAGGACAGCTAACACTGTCATTTACTATACTGCCAGAGCAGCCATGGCAGGTGCGTGACATAACGTTGTGCGTTTGTAAGCAACCGATTGGTGTTTGTAAACAAACCAGCCGAATTAGGCTTAGATGTATGTTATATTATTATCCAGTAGATGGCGCTGATGGAGCGATGTCTATTATCGATAACTATTAGTGATACCTTTGATCGATAAACTGCAGGTAGTTCCAACAAGAGCAAAAAGTAACTGTAGATGACAGCCCTATACACTGTATTGCCGGAGAACTTATGGTGACCAGGGTTGCCAGATTGGGCGATTTTCCACAAATTGGGCGATTTTGAGATGTATCCTGCGCTTAAATTTCCATTGGGCGATTTTTCGCAAATTGGGCGATTTCCGTTCTCTATAAGCCGTTCTTATGATTATTTATATGCCTGTATGTGTCCTTTATTTTTTAATTTATTTGAGACCATTTTATATAAAGTCAATGGCTACTAACAATCTAAATAACTCAAACAATTCAACTGATCGATACATTGAGCCATTATTAGATCAATCTAACAACATTTTGAAGAATAATAATAATCAGTGGGTCTTCATTGTGAAACCTGGTTAGTAAAATTAAAATATGATACTTTCATTAAATAATTAAATTTATTTTTTTGTTAAGTTAAATTTATGCTTAAAATAATACTATTAACACAGATGGTATCATCTTTACAATTCCTGCTGGGTTTGAAGACAATTCAGTTAATACCAGCTTAAACTCTACCTCATCTGAAGAACCAGAGGAAGAAATTCACAGTAAGAATTTTTTTTTTATACAAATATTTTTTATCTCAAACTAATCAAATATTATTTAATTATTTTCAGTTAATGATGAACGTATGTGTTATTTTGACAAAAGAGAAGAGTAATGTAAAGGATTAATTTATTCAATAGTTTTGATTATCATTTTTAAAAATTTTTATTTCTAATATGACTAACTGGGCAAAGTATAACAAAAAATTTCAAGATAGCTGGTTGAAAGATCTGATTTTCTGTAAATGGTTACGACAAGTAAGCATATTGTAAAATTTGCAAAACAGAACTGAGAGCCCATAAAAATGATTTCATTAGACACAAAGATTCTGAGAAGCACAAAAAAAATTCTGCTGCAATTACTTTTCATCCTTCAATAAATCAAGTTTTTCCTACCGTAGATCCAGTAAACAAAAAAAAACTAGGCACGAAATTTGAATTACAATTAGCTGTCCATGTAGCATGCCACTCGTCAATCCGAGTAATTGACCATTTGTCTGACCTAATGAAAGGTCATTTTAAATCCAATGATAATAATAATATGAAGCTTGATCAGTATACAAAAATTCACAGGACTAAGTGCACAGCATTATTAACCAAAGTAATTGCCCCATCATTATTGATGCAACAAATCAAAGATATAAATGATGTACCCTTTTCGCTTATTCTCGATGAATCAACGGATGTTTCTTGTACAAAGCATCTTTGCATTTGCATTAGATATTATAATTCTAGGCAAGAGCGGATAGTATCGCAATTCTTAGGATTAATTCCTATGATTGAAACGACTGCAGAAGACTTATATGAGCATGTGACTTCTTTTTTTAATGAGCACAATTTAAATCTTCAACAATGTTTTGCTATTGCTACTGATGGTGGGTCCAATCTATGTGGGTGCAATAAATCTTTGTACACATTGATGAAGAAAAAGAGGGATGATTTAATGCTCTTCAAATGCATTTGCCACTCTATTCATTTAGTGTGTTCACATGCTTCTGAAGAACTTCCGTCAAACATTGATTATATGTTGCGAGAAACTTTTAATTGATTTAAAAGCTCAGCGTTACGTCGAAAAAAATATTTGGATATTTATAATACGATAAATGATGGAACTGATCCTCTACAAATGGTTCATCTTTCTACAACCCGATGGTTGGCAAGAGGGCAGGCTATTGAACGAATATTGGACCAATGGGATACGTTGAAACTGAACTTTGATTTTGCCGCTACTGAACCACATCAAGATCGTTACGTTGCCAAAGAACTTCAGCAAATGTATAATGATCCAGCTAATTTATTATATTTTACATTTTTATCACCTTTGCTATCGGAATTTAACTCAATTAATTTGCTATTTCAAAAAGAACATGCAGATCATTTCAGTATTCTCCAAGAGTTAGAGCGCTTTACATTATCATTACTAAGAAGAGTTTTGCATCCATCTTCAGTTTCTTTGGAAGTAGATTTAAATTTTCAATCAATTTATCTACCACTTCAGAAAGTGGATTTTGGATACAAATTCACAGCGCTTGTTAATCGCTTGGTAAAAGATACTGATATTTCCCAGACTACTGTAAATAACGTTAAGCATCGTTGTCAATTATTTTTAATAAGGGCTTGTAAAGAACTTCTTTCACATACGTCAGGTAACACAGCAATTTTGAAAAAAATTCGAGTTTTTTCGCCAAAGATATGTTTAAAAAGTGATCGCCCAGCTTTTGCAGAACTACCATTGAATCTTTTAAAAAAAGGTGTTGATATTAATGCAGCAGAATCTCAATGGAGAAAATTACTCGATTTTGATTTTGAATCTATATTCGATGAGTCGATAATGGCTCAGGGTCCAATGTTTTGGTCGAAGGTTATAAAGTTGACCGACTCTGAAGGCAATTATATTTTCAAAGATATAGCGTCTCTGGCACTTACAGCATACAGTCTACCTGTTAGTAATGCTTCAGTTGAGCGGGTGTTCTCAAGAGTAACTCTTACTAAAACTAAGCTTCGTAATCGTATGACTCTTCTTTTATTATCGGCAATATTACGAATCAAAATGCACTTAGAAGAAAATGGAATCTGCTGCACTAAATTCGAGCCTACTGGTGATATGCTAAATTTTAATTCTACAATTTATGATAAAAAAAAGACAGACACTTCAGAAGAAGATGAAAACGTAGAGGAGTTATTAAAAAATTTAAATTTTTAATTAATAAAATGTTTATGTATTTTATCATTATGTATGTTAAGAAAAATAAAATGAAGTTGTAGTTTATTGCATTGCTATTATTGTTATTTATTGTAAGTATGTTAATCATTAGTATTTTTCATAAGCCACGAAAAAACTATAAATCAAAAGAAAATTCAAATTGGGCGGTTTTTCATATTAATTTGCGGTTTTGCCGTCAGATCGCGCGATTTCGTTCAGAACATTTCTGGCAACCCTGATGGTGACTGTTATTATTATTGTTGTTGAGTTCTATTAACCGGGTTAGTAAAAAGCCAATTAAATTACTTATGACTCTGACTTTTTAGAATTTTATATTTCAAAATGATCACTGTCACCACTGCTGCATTTAGCACATGAAATTTCACAAAAGCACAGACGGATTATAACTCAATTTATATGATTCAACGGAGCGATATAAAACGTGGACTTTACTCTGTTGCCATCTTTATATTAGTTCCAATTTGTTACCAATTAACTTGAAGCTGACCTCAGGCAGCTGAATTTCAATCTGCCGGGTCAGTTACTAATTTTCGAGCTTCAAAGCCATTTTTAATTACCAAACTTGCACTGATATCACTCAAAATCTTTAAAGAAATTTTTTTTCTTCAAATAACTTATCAAAAATTTTTTATTTAATGTTTTTTTAATACTTTAATTATTATTTTTTTCTCATAAAAAATATTATAGAAATTTTTCTACGGATTGTAAATATTTTTATTTAATTTAATTATTATTAAAGGTAAAATAATTAATAGTAATAAATTAAGTGCAGAGTGAGTAAATTAATTGCAGGGAATTTTTTCGAGTAGTTACTTTGAAATAAATAAAATAAAATGGCGGTTAAATTAAAATAATGAAAATTAAATGAAAGACGGTGAGTAGAAAAAAAAAAAAGTGAAATAAAAATGAAGTTTTGTCTGATCTGTAGCTCGTCTCATCGAGACGACGTGCCCGGCATTTTGAACCAGTTGAATTCTTAAACTCCGACTAGTCTTGAATTAAATAGCTAACTAGTACTTCTGTTCACGTACTATTTGTAAGTCAAGATTATCAATTTTATATAACCGGCATAATCCTATTTGAATTGAGTGCATTATACCGAAATAGAGAGATATTTTATTAATATTATATACGGATCATTAAGTAGATTTAATTAAACTAAACTAAAAAAAAATTTTAGTTAAATAAATGGAAATCAGCAGAATTATCGAGGGCCCAATAAATTAATAATCATAAATTCATAATATATATATATATA